GATTAAGTTCATAGTACTCCCTCTGAGTAAACAAAAAATGGTTAAATTATGATATCTTTTTAAAAAATGTTTATTTTTTAGTTGTAGTTGGACACAATACCTTTATTTCACTTATTTATTTTTATGTGGTGCTGAGGATCGAACCCAGGATCTCGCATGTGTGAGGCGAGTGCTCTACCACTGAACCACAACCCCAGCCCCAAATTATGATATCTTAAATCTTTTGCATATATAAAACATTTCACTACATTTTCTTGGTCCTGTGAGGGAGGCGTAAGGTAACAATGTTTACTTACAGGTGACAGACTTAGTCTTAGAGATAAATGGTTTATCCAAAGCCATACTCCAGAGGTAAATCTAGGTCTTAATGACTTCAAATCATGTTTGTTTGTTTGTTTTTCCCACGATATAACCCACAGAAAATTAATATTACCTTTTTTTAAAAAATTAATCTATTTGAAACAGAACAAAGGTCGCAGGCATTGCCTTGCATGTGCAAAGCCCTCAAAGCCCTGTGTTTGATCCCCAGCAATGGGGAAAAAAAGTTGAAACAGAATGAAAATATTCAGAATGAAACAGTCCTACCTTTGGTTTAGCTGAGGTTTGGGTTTTAGTTTGGTTTTTGGTCCTAGAGTTTGAACTCTGAGCCTTATACATGCTAAGCATGAGCTCTACCAAGGAGCCACACCCCCGACCCTAGCTGAGGTTTGTATCGGTTCTGGAAGAGAATGTTCAGTATGATTTAAAGCAGTCAAGGAAGACTTCAGCCTGACATCGCTGAAAATAGTTTGCAGCTTTTAATCTTTTTTTTTCTTTTGATTTTTTTATGCATTTATTTCATCCTCTATTTACTGTATGCTAAACATTATGACCAAGTGCTGGGGATATGAAAATAAAAGACAAGGGCTGGGGATGTGGCTTAAGCGGTAGCGCGCTCGCCTGGCATGCGTGCGGCCCGGGTTCGATCCTCAGCACCACAAACAAAGATGTTGTGTCCACCAAGAACTAAAAAATAAGTATTCTCTCTCTCAAAAAAAAAAAATAAATAAAAATAAAAAACAAGCTTCGACTAAGTGATAAATACATACAAGAAATCCAAATGGAAGTATCCAATAAATAATTGCATATGTGAGTTTAGAGCACAAGAGAAAGATCTGAGTTAAATACCTAGATTTTATGATGAGTAGCATGTAGATAATTTTGGTAACTGTTGATGTGGATTATCTTGACGAAGAGAATGTACATTAAGAAGAGGTGGCTATGTACATACTTAGGGAACACTAACATTTAAGAAGAGGTCATGGGCTGGGGATGTGGCTCAAGTGGTAGTGCACTCGCCTGGCATGCGTGCGGCCTGGGTTCGATCCTCAGCACCACATACAAAGATGTTGTGTCCGCTGAGAACTGAAAAATAAATATTAAAATTCTCTCTCTCTTAAAAAAAAAAAAAAAGAAGAGGTCAGAGAAGACTCAGAAAGGTCACAGTAATAGAAGTTAATTCAATCATTCATTTAAAATATATGTTTATTAAACTTTTAGCTACTGTCAAGACAAAGAAGAACCTCAGGAGCCAAAAGAGTATTCCAAGGGAGGAGAAAGGTCAACAAGGTCAAATGCCATAAAAAAGGTGAAAGGATGAAGACTGAAGAGCCATTCAGTGAATGTAACCAGGAGGTGTTTGGTAGCCTTGATGATAGCAATCTCAGTGGATTGATGAGGGCAAGAACTAAAAAAAGGCTGGGAATGTATCTCAGTGGTCAAGTGCTTACCTTGCATGTGTGAGACCCTGGACTCTATCCCCAGCACTGCAAAACAAACAACCCAAACCTAAGTGAAGGTTGGGGAGGTAACTCAATGGTAGAGTGCTTGCCTAGCATGTTCAAGGGCCTGGGTTCGATTCTCAGTATTGAAACAAAACAAAACAAACACCTTAAATAGGAAAAATAGTAATGCATTGATAGTTAACACCTACTATGTGCCTGTTAACACCTACTAAGTGCTAAATGGAAAAGATACAGGGGTGAGCAAGACAGACATACTATGTGGAACTTACAGTAAAATGGACAGGAGATTTTGATTCCTCATTCACTAGGACTAGGGAGATGTGATGATGATAAATGTATCTGTATGAGGCAGAAAGTTGATAGAACCCTCACTTTATTGCTCTATTTTTCTCGGAAGATGGGTGTAGATTCTATTGGAACGAGCAAGGAGTAGTGAGGAAAGGAACTTCAGGAAAAAGTAGGAAGTTTCAATTAGCCACTTGTGGGAAATAGGAAAGGGTGATTTTCCCAGTTTGGAGAGCCTAAATTTATGAAGACTCCAACCTTTGGAACTGTGTGATTTTCTTCAGAACACCAGGGGAGTAGGAAGAGAGTTATGTTGCTTTCTCTTTTGAAATAACATTCTCACCTCTTTCTTTCCATCCACAATGCTATCACTCTTAGATTGCCCCTCTCTTCTCATCCTTAGACTTCCCTGTTTTCTTCTTGCTAGTAGTTTTCTCTTCTCTTCTTGCTTAGAACCAAAAACATTCTGACAAAAGTCCCTTATTCTGGGGATGTGGCTCAAGCGATGGTGTGCTCGCCTGGCATGCGTGTGGCCCGGGTTCGATCCTCAGCACCACATAAAAAGATGTTGTGTCCACCGAAAACTAAAATTAATAAATAAATATTTTTTTTTAAAAAAAGTCCCTTATTCTGGAACTTAGAATGAGATTCTACTTTAACCTATCACCATGGTGTTCTAGGCCTTCCGTAATTTGTGGCCCTCCTCCCCTTTCCCCTGCTTCTAACCAATGCTGTCCCTGGGTATCAATCTCATGTGACCTTCTGCAATCCAGGCTTCAGGCTCCGTGCTCACCAAGTAAGAATTTTTGCTTAAGTAATGTCCTTCTTTAGAACATTTTCCTCTTTATCCAATTCCCACCAAAGTTCCTTTGTCCTATTTGATAAAATGCATCCAACATCATACCCTGCTGTCATCATGAAGAGTATTTATTTCCTTTACATTTAGAAATTTATGTTCATTGTACCTTTTTTGTTTGTTTGAGACTTGTCATTTAGTACAGTAAATCTTGTTTTAATTCAATTAGGTGGTCATTTTCCTCAGGATTGGGATCAATCCCCCAGAGATGGTACAGTAGATTGGAACTGTTTCAAATTTATTGAATGGAACTGAGATTTGAACTAGGCTCTATAACTTTAAATGAATTACATATTAGTCCCTATTCATACATTACTCAATAAATAATATTTGAGTACATCAGCTGCTCAGCCTGTGCTAGGAGCTGGAGAAATTTCTTTTAACCTCTGAATACCTCTAATTTTTTTTTTTTCTAGTGCTAGGGATCCAACCCAGGGTCTTGCACAAGCTAGGCAAGTGGTCTACCACTGAACTACATATCCAGCTCTTGAATGCCTGTAAATTGCAAGGTAGTTTTCTCCCAAAACTTTTTTCCAGTCTTTAAAATAGCTCCTAATTCAGGGCTGGGGTTGTGGCTCAACGGTAGAGCAAGGCCCTAGGTTTGATCCTCAGCAACACATAAAAATAAATAAATAAAATAAAGGTATATATATGAAAAAAAAACAGCTCCTGATTCAACTGTCCATTGAATTGCCTTAAATCTGAGACTCCTCGGTTGTTCATCTCGTGTGGAAATTGTTCCACTGTTGCTGATTGTGTTTATCTCACTGGTTCACTTGGCTTTAAGTCTCTGTTGCTGCCTCTCTCTTTTTTTTCTCTTTCTGTGTGTGTGTGTCTTGCTTACTCACTATGAGGCCTAGCCCAGTTGATGTTGTTACCTACCCTGATCCCAGTCAGTTGAGGTTGGTGTGGAAATGGTAAATCTACCCCTCCTTTCTTATATTTCAGAGACCAAGAAGTGGGTAGAAGTGCCCACTCTGATAACACTATCTGAGAATGCCAATGTCTCCCAGGCCACCTACTTTCCTGGGAATTTTGAGAATGTCTTTTGTCCCAGCCCCACACAGAGAAGAATCCTAGCAGGCAAAACCAAGGTGGAGACCAAGCAGTACTTCTGAAGTACTCTTATTCTTCCTCCTCACTAACATTCCCAGAACCAAATGGTTTTTATGGCGGGTGGGGATGGAGGAGCAGTTCTGCTATTTGGAGAGATGTCTAGGGCTCTTTGATGAATCCTGAGCCTATGGGGCACTATGGATTAGGGCTGGTCATTTTCTCTTTTAGTTCGCTTTGTGACTCCTCTTTCTGTGGATTCTCTCAATCAATTATTCTGGGTCTTCGCATTTCCCTTTTGGCTTCAGCCACTCTCACCTGTCCTTTTTTCATCAACCAACAGCCTGACTGCCAACCACCCTAGCTTCCTGGCTCCTTAGTTCCTGGCGTGGTGACCCAAGCCCATCCTGCTTTGACTGTAGAGGTGGGAGGGGAGGAGATGATTTTGGACAAGAAAAACCTCCCAAGGGCACTTTCCTGTCCTTTCCCAGGCCTCAAACCCCCAAGAACATGCTAGGCCTCCTCATTGAGGTCAGGAGGCATCAGAAGAGGTGCATGGGAAGAAATAAGGAGAGCGAGGTATAAAAGCCTGAGGAGGAGGAACGGAAGGATGGGGCAGAGCGGGGGAGAGGCCAAAGACTCCCTAGGGCATAGGGTCGCCAGAGCCTTAGAGGGGAAGTGAGGGAGGATCGCGCAGGCTCTGACAGCAGAGGCCTCCGGGTTTCCTGTCTCTTGTCAGCTTTGCTTTTTTGTGGCATTTCTCAAGGCCTCTCCCCCGTCGGCCGGTTTCTGTGTTTCTTTTCCTCTGTCCGGGTCTAGCAACAATCCACGATCTCCCCATCTCACTCGGGTCTCCGGTCTCCAGCTCTCCCTCCCCGCCGGGCCTGGGGGTGGACGGTGCTCCTGGAGCCCCGCCCCCGAGGAGTGCTACTGGCGGAGAGTGCGGGAAGGCGGGGTCTAGCGGGCCTCTGGCGACACGGTTGGCCGCGGCGGCCGGGAGGCGGGCCGGAGGCGGGCCCGGCCGGGAGGCGGGCGGGGCGGCTGGGGCCGAGCCCAGAGCTCCGGGCGGTCGCATTGTTTTCCTCCGCGGATCCGCGGCGGGAGTGGGGGCTGCGACTCGGACCTAGGGCTCTCGTGACCGACAGTCCCCCGGAGCCCACCTCCAAGCTTCACCCAGTTGGGACGACAGTCATCTCTCGCCTGGGCGCCCACCACAGACAGAACTCTGCGCGGTGCGGGCTGCTGGCCGCCCGCCGCGATCTCGATCCTGCTACCCCGGATCTCGGAGCAAGTACCGGGCAGAGCGGCGTGGAGGCAGGCGGGGAGGAAGCGGCTCCGCAGGTGAGCGGCCAGCAGACCCCGTGCTGGAGAGGCCAGGGGGACACCGGGCGCTGTGCGCCTGGCTGGCAGAGAGGGTCAGCGGAGTTGGGGCGCCCCGGGAGGAGCGACTGTGGCCAGGCACCTTCACCGCACTGCCGGGCTCAGGTCCGCGCTCCTCTTTCGACTGGGCTCTCTCCGAGTCGCCTCCCCCTGGATTAGGGAACCAGAGGGGGAATTTTTTGAGGCGCGCACCGTACAGAGAGTGGAAAACCTGGTCCCTTGCCTCCCCCGCAGGGTAAATAAGGTTCCGAGACTTGGAGAACCGGACCCTCTGGTTGCCCCTGAGGGGATGGGAAGCGGGACGCGTCGTTCTGGACTTTGGTGTCAGGGCTGCATCTTCATCCTTGTGCAAGCAGGAGTCTGAGCACCTCTTGGGGGTTGGCTTGAGCACAGAGTCGGAGAAAGGCGCCCCGAGAAACCTCGGTCCAGCTCCTCTCTCCTTCTTTTACCCCCCTCGGCCCAGGGCTTTGTTAGACTAGTCTCCCAAGGAGAAGAGCCGAGTGGCGACTGCATCCAAGCTCACCGACTCGGTTCAGCGCCGGCCTAGGGCCCGCCCTCGTCGGTTCCCAGCCTCTGGCCCTGTTTCCCTGGCTTGCGAGACCCGCCTCCGCTCCCCAACCCCCGCTCTCGTCCCCTCTCAGTCTGAGCTTGCAGGCCCCTTCAGCCCCTCCTCCCGCTAACGTGGCTCTGGGACCCGGTCCCGGCCCAGACTCTGCTACCCGCCCCTCCTCGGAGCCCCGGATCCAGCGAGGGGGAGACACGTCGAGCCCCTGGCCCCAGGCCCAGCTCACACGAAGCTCTAGACACCTGGATTATCCTCGTTGGGGGCTGGGTGGGAGGGAAGATAGGTGCCAACCTGGGGCTGAGAGCAAAGCGTTGGGGAAAGGTCTTGGATAAGGGAACGCGCCTAATCCGTGAGGCTTCTCGGTGCACCCTAGCTCCCCCTGAGGAAGGTGGACCCGGGCAGGCGACCGCCCAGGGCTTCCTGCTATTGTCCCCAGCCCGGTCTCCCCTTCCCCAACCCTTCCCCATCTCTGCTAGACTCTGGCTATGACCTCCGCCACTCCCCAGAGGTGGCTGCCCAGCCAGGAGGAGAGAGAAGGGCTGTTTCCTCTTCCCATCAAGGAGAGGTTCTAGAAGGAGGAGAAAGAGTTGGCCAGGTCTCTCCCTACAATTCCTCCAGGTCTCAGTAAGCCTCTCCCCAAGTCAAGGGGATGGGTAGGAGGTACCTAGATGCTGCTCCCCAAAAACATCTATGAAAAGCCCTCTTTAAAGATGTGTCATAGTGGAGTCTAGGGGCAAGGCAGAGGCTGACAAAGTGTTTTTAGAGGCGGGCTAATCCAAGTGTGCAGTGTGTGTGGGGGTCTATGTGAAGGGGGGTTAGATAGGAGGGAGACAGGGCCTGCTTTCCCAGGGAAGAAGGAAGGGGCTGGGGGTCCTTGTTATCAGAGCATTTTGCTGGAAATGAAGAGCATGCAAATGAAATGCAAATTAGCCTCTATTGTCCCTAGCCAGGGCGCTTTTGCTAAGAAGGCTTTTGGATTCTGAAGGTTTTAATATGGGAGTGGTCTTCATGCCCCACAAACTCTCCCATTACCCCTTTCCCCAAGGCTGGTCTTGCCGGTTCAGGAGTTTCTGGCTAGGGACCATCCCCTGCCCTCATATCTCTGGGCAGGAAGCTGCCAACACCTTTAAAACCAAACTAAATATCATCTCCCTTCCCCCTCTTCCCAAGCGGCATCTCCCTACACTAGAAGACTTTTCCTGAATTTTCACATTTACTTGTAAGAGATTGGGGCAGGAGGTGTAACTCAGGTTCTTCCCTCTTTTGTCCCTTTTTCCATCAGGTTGGAGGTTTCCTCTCCCCTTTGGAGGTCTCCTAACCCCTTCAATCCCCCTAGGAGTTACCATCCCAGGTAAGGAAGCAGGGGATAGAGCAGGGGCATCCAGGGAACAGGAAGAGGGTCTGGCTGTCCTCCCCACTTGCCAGCCAGAGACCAAAGTAGTTTCCAGGGTGAAGATAACAGTTGCCCAGGGCAACTTGGTGGGGGGGGGGCAGTAGGGGGAGCTTAAGAGACAAGCTGTGTCCCTTCCCCTTCCCCTGGGAGTTCCAGCATCCGGAAACAGGGGATGGGGGAAGGAGGCTGGCTCAGCCTTTCACACCAGAGGGTCCTTAGCTAACTGACTGTTCTGCCCCTGGGGAAGGGGTCATCATTAGGTGTTCCTACCCCCTCCCCTCCTCCAGCTCTCTTGGGGCCCCACCTGACGTCAGCCTCCCCACCAGTGACGCTGGATTGGGGGTGGGGGGACACTTGGGTCCTGGTTTCAAGAGTAGAACTAATGGGGAGATGGAAGGGGGCTGGGCCTGTAAGCCTAGGGTTTCTCCTTTAGGGGACATGGTGGGAAGGGCAACTAAGGATTGTTGTGATCCCTTCACAAAGAAAGGATTCTTCTTGACCTGATTTCAGGAGCCTCCTCAGCCCCTGACTTCAGTTTCTGGGGAAGGCAGGAAGCTGGTGTGCATCTCCCACTGGGGGACCAGCCAGGGTCAGCTGGCTGGGGGAGGCGATGGGTGGGAATAAGACCTGTCTCACCATCCCCTCTACATATCCATCTTTCCAGGACTTTGGGCTACAATTGCCTGCCATTTAATTATTTATATTTCAATTTTAGAGGCAGCCTGATGAGGAGAGAAAGGGACAGAGGGGCTTATTCCACTATTTCACCTCACCAGTCCATTCTATTTCTGGCTCCCTTAGAGGGCCAGTCTATAACCGACCCCCACCCCCATCAAGTACATGCGCTGGTTCTTTGGAGCCAGGGAGGGAACAGGGGGCTAGGAGAGGCTGGGAGGGGGCACAGTGGTCCAGGAGACAGCTGCAGCCAGAGCTAAATTTAGCCTCTGATCTGGCTTTGATGCAGATTCATTTTTGGCCAAGATGGTCCCCCCCAGCTCCCCTCCCTGTCCAGCTTTTTCCTTAGCTGTGGGAAGGGCCCCCCGGAGCATGAGCTTAGATGGGGACAGTGACCCCTAGGCTGCCCCCCACACCCACCCTGTTCCTCCTGGATCCTAGAGGACCGTGGCTGCCGCACAGCTGCCTCAGCCTGGGCACGGTGCCTGAGTCACTCCCAGTGTGGGGTGGGGGTCTGAGAGGGAGAGAGAAGTAGACTTGGTGCCCTCTTTCTCTTCCCAGTGCCAAGGAGCCACTATTTATAATGTCAAGGCTTCAGTGTCTAATTATAGCTGGGAAGGGGTTAACACCAGGGGGGTCAGGAGGTGTCACCTACCAAATGTCCCAGACTCAGTCAGGAGAGAAAAGGAGAGGCTGAGTGAGAAGCCTGGAGCTACAGGCGTCCTGTCCTTACCTGGGGTCATGAAGGCAGGCCTCACACTAGCCAGTTTGGGCCAGTTGGAGAGGCAAGATCCTTGAGTGACAGTGACAGCTGGCTGGGACTAGGATAGAGCACCAGAGAGGTTCTTGCCCCCACCCCACAGGGTCTTCTGGGGATAGACTGGGAGAGAAGCTCACTATTAGATGGAGGGAACTTGGCCCCTTGCCCCACTTTTCTGCTTCTCCTTTCAGGGCCAGCATATGGGTGAAGGGGCACCCCCTGGGGCCTGAGCTGCCCCACACAGGATGCTCCGTGTCCCCTACTTCATGCCCCTGCTGCTGCTCCTGCTGCTGCTCTCACTTCCCTATCCCGGAGCCACCTTTCCCCAGGACCCCGTCCCTCTGTTGATCTCTGACCTACAAGGTGAGTGACCCTTTCCACCCCACCCCTCAGTGAGCGAGCAGAGATGAGGCCAACATGGGGTACAAGTGGGAGACGGCCCCAACCTCAAAGAAGCGAAGAGCCCGGGCCGCCAAGGGTCAGGCCGAGAAGAGGCTGGGAGGGGGCAGCTGGTGCCTCAGGTTCATTCTTTCTTTTCCCTGGGACTCTTCACTTAGAGACAGTGTGAATTGATGGTTAAAATGTCCTCTTAGGGGTTAAGGCTGTAGCTCAGTGGCAGAGGCTTAACTAGCAAGTGTGAGGCACTGGGTTGGATCCTTAGCACCACATACAAAAAAACAAGCAAATAAAATAAAGGTGTGCTGCCATCTACAATTACCAAAAAATAAAATAAAAAAATCCTGTTAGCCAGATGGGATTGTGTCTACCTAAGCTACACTAAGTGGCAAAGCACCCTTGGGTTCAATCGGGAGTGCCGTGAAAAAGGTCTTGGTAGCAGTGGTGGGATGCTCATGGTGACACTTGCCTAGAATCCCAATGACTCAGAAGTCCATGCCAGCTTTAGCAAGATCCTGTCTCAAAATAAAAACAACAAAAACTGGGAATGTAGCTAAGTTGTAGAGCAGCCCTGGGTTCAATCCCCAATACCAGAAAAGAGAAATAAAATGCCGGGCACAGTGGTGCATGCCTGTAATCCCAGTGAACTGAGTGAGACCTGTCTCTAAATAAAATACAAAATAGGGCTGGGGATATGGCTTGGTGGTTGAGTGCCCCTGAGTACAAAAGAAAAAAAAAAAAAAAAGAAAATACAAAAATAAAAAGAAGATGAGCTTGGTGACACATTCTTTTAATCCCAGCAGTTTGGGAGGCTGAGATAGGAGGATCGAAAGTTCAGGACAGCCTCAGCAATTTAGCAAGACCCTATGCAACTTAGTGAGATCATGTCTCAAAATAAAAAGAGGTAGGGTTGAGGTTGTAGTTCAGTGGTAGAACACTTGCCTAGCATGTGTAAGGCACTGGGTTGGATTTTCAGCACCACATATAAATAATTAAAGGTCCATCAACAACTAAAAACAATTATTTAAAATAATAAATAAATAAAAGAGTTAGCTCAGTAGTAAAGGACCCCTGGTCTAAATTCTAGTGTAAAATAAAATAAAACAAATAAAAAGGACTGGGGGTATAGCTCAGTGGTAGAATGCTTGCCTATCATGCACAGGGCCTTTGGTTAGATCCCTAGTACCCCAAAACAATAAAAGAAGGTGAACTCACAGCCAGTTTACATTCCTGCTAAGTTGCTCACTAGCTCGGTGACCTTTGTTAAGCTTATTTAACTTTTCTTTGCCTCAGTCTCCTCATCTGCAAAATGAAGATAATAATAGTGTTCTACCTCATGGAGTTATTTAGGGATGAAATGAGATAAAACATGTAAAGTGATGAGAACACTGTCTGGCACAAACTAAATGCTTTATATTTATTTGTTATTATTATTAGTCACAAAGTAAAGGCCTGGTTCCCAACACCCCAACACCTCCTTTTCTACCACTTATGCTACCACTAAGCCTAGGTCTTTTTTTTTTTTCTTTTTAAATATTTTTTTTAGTTGTAGATGGACAAAATATCTTTATTTTTATTTTTTTAAATTTTTAAATTTTTATTTTTATTTATTTTATTTTATTTTTTTTTAGAGAGAGAGAGAGAGAGAGGGAGGAGAGAAAGAATTTTTTAATATTTATTTATTTTTTTAGTTTTCGGTGGACACAACATTTTTGTTTGTATGTGGTGCTGAGGATTGAACCCGGGCCGCACGCATGCCAGGCGAGCGCGCTACCGCTTGAGCCACATCCCCAGCCCAACAAAATATCTTTATTTATTTATTTTTATGTGGTGCCCAGGATCGAACCTAGGGCCTCACACATGCAAGGCAAGTGCTCTACCACTGAGCTACAGCCCCAGCCCAAACCTAGGTCTTACTATAATGGAAACCATAAGCCCAGTATTTCTGAAAACCTTTATCTGTTTGCAGTCCCTGTTATATATCTAGGATTTAGAGCAATTTTAAGGAAGGAAGAACTGCAATTGGGTTTTGGGGAGTGATTGTTGGGGAACAGATCTGAACAGCAAATACTTACATGTGCCAAATGCAATTCTAAGCACTTTATGAAGTTAAATCAATTATCCCTGGACTCTGAGCTCTCTGTGAACACTGATGACTATGGTTTCCATAGTCAGGCCGGGCGGATGCTGGAGTTGGTCAGGAGAGGCAAAAACCTGGAGGGCTGAGGTGACCTGTGAAGACCCTTGAGGGGAGAGTGCAGAGAGGGCTGGTTGAAATGGAGGAAGTAAATGCTCCAGATGGGACAGCATACAAGGTGGGTGGGGAATTGTTAACCCAAAGGCAGTTCCAAGAAAGGACTGGACTCAGCTCTGGAGTTATACAGACCTAGATCTAAATGAGCTCATGCAATTCCCTTAATTTTCCTGAGCCTCAGGCTCCTCATCTGCAAAATGGGGTCAACCTTAGCATTTACCTCATAGGATTAATGTACTAAGTGAGATCTAAAGTGCTACACAAGCTGGGCATAGTGGTGCACACCTCCAATCCCAGCGACTTGGGAAGCTGAGGCAGGAGGATCACAAGTTCAAAGCCAGCTAACTTAGAGAGGCCCCAAGCAACTAGTGAGACCCTGTCTCAAAATGAAATATAAAAAGGGCTGGGGATGTGGCTCAAAGGTTAAGCACCCCTGGGTCCAATCCCTGGTAACAAGTTAATAAATAAATAAATTTTAAAAATAAATAATAAAGGGGGCCTGGGGATATAGCTCAGTGGTAGAGCACCCCTGGGTTCAATCCTTAGTACCAAAAAAATAAATAAACAAATAAATAAAATAAAGTGCTAACACAGTGCTTAACAGAGATTAATTAAGTGCTCAGTGTTACTGGCATCATTTTTATTAATAGCTTTTGGTTTCCTCTCATCTTTCCCTGTGCGTGGCTGGGTTTCATGCTGTCGTGGGTGTTGGGAGTGCATGTATACTGGCTGGCCCTCAGCACTTCACCTCTCTGTGTCCTCCAGGTATTTCCCCATTATCCTGGTTCCGGGGCCTGGAGGATGATGCTGTGGCTGCAGAACTTGGGCTAGACTTTCAGAAATTCCTGACCTTGAACCGGACCTTGCTAGTGGCTGCCCGGTAAACTGGCCGAGGCACAGTTGTGGGGCAGACATGCATGCTCCTGGGCAGACATGGGACCTGCATGGCCACTGCAGCATCTTGCAGGGGACACATGCAGGTGCACAAGCCATGGGACACGGATATGCTTGGACCCAGAGCACAAATGCCAAGGCATGGAATAAAGGGAGGGTAGGGAGCAGGAGGTCTGTGGTTTGTCCCTGAGCAGGTGACTGTGGCTAAGGTGGGGGGCTAAGGAGCTCAGGTGGGGCACCTTGGCTCAGCTCTGATCCTCGTTACCTACCCCTTCAGGGAACACGTTTTCTCCTTCGATCTTCAAGCCCAAGAAGAAGGGGAGGGGCTGGTGCCCAACAAGGTGAGGGGCTGTGTGGGAGGAGGTGCAGGCATGGAGATGAGCTGGGAAAGGTCTAACAGTGGTCAAGTGGGTGGGAAGGAGGATCTGAAAAGAGCCATATGTGGGGGGTCCAGATTGCCTCACAGTGTTCTACTTCTCCTTCAGTATCTAACATGGAAGAGCCAAGATATGGAGAACTGTGCTGTCCGGGGAAAGCTGACGGTGAGGAATAGAAAGAGCATCTAGGGGGAGAAAGAGGCCTCTAGCTTCTGCCCAGGGGTCTTCTACCAAGCCAAAGTTCCTACCCACTTTTCCGTCCTAGGCCACTGAGGACAATGGAAAGAGGATTAATGCTTTTTAGTTCCCTTTATATTCCTCACAAAAAGGGAAAACGAGGCTCAGAGAGGCCAAAGGACGTGGCCAAGGCTGCAGGGCTAGCAAACAGTGCAGCTGGGACTTGATCCCACATCATTCTGATTGGCTCAGGGTGGTAGCCTTACTTCTTGTGACCCCGAGTCCCAGTCCCAGCAACCTGTCACTGACCTAGAATTTTGGGTTCTCTAGGACGAGTGCTACAACTACATTCGTGTTCTCGTTCCCTGGGACTCCCAGACGCTGCTTGCCTGTGGAACGAACTCATTCAGCCCTGTGTGCCGCAGCTATGGGGTACAAGGAAGAGGGTGGGGGAGGATTGGTTGGGAGGAGAAGAACTGGGTCAAGGAATAGGAGTGCCCAGAATGCAAGGGTCCAGAAGGCATCAAGGGGACATGCGGGAATGGGTTATGGAGCCTCACTCCAAGGTGCCAAGGATACCAGCAACCTGCTCCCTCTGCCCCCAGATAACTTCACTGCAGCAGGAGGGTGAGGAGCTGAGCGGGCAGGCTCGGTGCCCCTTTGATGCTACCCAGTCCAACGTGGCCGTCTTTGCAGGTGTGCACCTGGGCATGTGGCTGGAGGGAGCTCCTACCTTACACCTCTCCTATCTGGTCTTTCCCCTGTGTCCTTGAGTGGAGGGTTGAGGTAGGGTCCAAGGCCAGGGCCAGGTCGGGGTGTGGATAGCCAAATAAGATGCAGGATGCAGACCCCTGGCCTCACCTACCCATCCCTCCAGAGGGCAGCCTGTACTCAGCCACGGCTGCGGATTTCCAAGCCAGCGATGCCGTTGTTTACAGAAGCCTTGGGCCTCAGCCCCCGCTCCGCTCCGCCAAGTACGACTCCAAGTGGCTGAGAGGTCAGGGCGGGCCTGGGGGAGGAAGCCTATTCTTGGGGGGAAGGTGCAGAGGGAGGACTGTGTGGGAATCAGGCAGAGGGTGTGGCAGTAGGCTCATGTATACAATAGGGAGAGGACTTTCTGGGCAGATATAGATACTCTTCCATACCTTTGCCTGTCACTCCCCACCTCAGAGCCACACTTTGTCCATGCCTTGGAACATGGAGACCATGTCTACTTCTTCTTCCGAGAAGTCTCTGTGGAGGATGCCCGGCTGGGTAGGGTAAGGACATGGGCACCAGGGATGGTAGCTGGAGGGTTCTTTTGGGTCCTAAGGAGCCAGTGTGAATCTGGGGAAGATTCTGGGACCCTAATCTGCACAGCACAATCCCCTGGACTCTGAGCCCCCACCTCGGTGTGGCCCCCAATTCTACCCTCACATTCAGCTGTGAGCTTCATCCTGACCTGATTGACCTACCATGCCGTACCCTCAGCTGCGGCCTTAATCTCTGTCTTGGTGCTCTTAACTCACCTCCTCCCTCTCAGCCAGTCGACTCTCACTTTCCTCTTCCCCACCGCACAGGTGCAGTTCTCCCGGGTGGCCCGTGTTTGTAAACGTGACATGGGTGGCTCACCTCGGGCCTTGGACCGCCACTGGACATCCTTCCTGAAGCTGCGGCTCAACTGCTCTGTCCCCGGGGACTCTACGTTCTATTTTGACGTCTTGCAGGCCTTGACTGGGCCTGTGACCCTGCATGGCCATTCTGCTCTCTTTGGAGTCTTTACCACCCAGACCAATAGGTTGGTACCAAGCTGAGCACCAACAGTACGACTCCAAGTGGCTGCCAGGTCAGGGCGGGCCTGGGGGAGGAAGTCCCCTGTCTCACCAACATCCAAACTCCCCTCTCAAAGCCTATATATTGATGAGCCAGGTGTGTTGGTTGCATCTGTCATCCCCGCTACTTGGGCAGCTGAGGCAGGAGGATCACAAGTTTGAGGCCAGTCTCAGCAAGATCCTATCTCAAAATAAAAAATAAAAAGAGGTGGGAGGTGGCTAGTGGTAGAGTTCGCTGGGTTCAACCCAGCACTACCCCTGCGCCCTCCCAAAAGCCCACTGATGACGGCAGCGAGAGAAAGCTTTAAGCAAAACCAGTTTGCTACCCACCTTTTGTTCTGGCAGCATGGCACCCAGAAGCTGCCCTATCCCTTAGTGTCTGTCCCCTAATATGATACGCAAAAGGGGCTACCGCTTCCTACCTAGTGGAGCTATGCAGTCCCTCTCAACCAACATTTATCCTACATTTTTTTTCTGGCTCCCTCCAGCATCCCTGGCTCTGCAGTCTGTGCCTTTTACCTGGAAGACATTGAACATGGGTTTGAGGGCAAGTTCAAGGAACAGAGGAGTCTGGATGGTGCTTGGACCCCCGTGTCTGAGGACCGGGTCCCCTCACCCAGGTACCCAGATAGTGTTGGCTTTTGGGGGACAGAAGTAAGCATTATCTAAATGGGATAGGGAGGAGGGGTGAGGTGTCCAAGGCCTGGGAGGGGGCTTAGCAGTGTGTTGGCCATGGGATTGAAGAGCTGCAACAGGGATGGGAACAGTTGTGCAAGAGTCTGTGTGGAGGGCACAGGGGTTACCAAGTATTTTTAGGAGCAGTGGTGGGACACAGAACCTAACTAAGCCCAGGTTCCCCACACTAAGGCAGCCCCTTCTCATGTGCCCACCAGGCCAGGGTCCTGTGCAGGTGTGGGTGGGGCAGCCCTCTTCTCCTCTTCTCGAGACCTTCCTGATGATGTCCTGACCTTCATCAAGGCTCACCCACTGCTAGACCCTGCTGTGCCACCTGCCACCCACCAGCCTCTCCTCACTTTCACTAGCAGGTATGGGGCTAAAACTACTAGCTAGCACCTCCTGCCCTCAGCCCCTCTCCTCTTTCTCTGACCCTAGAAGGTAAATCACATGATGAGTACTTCACGGGAGGAAGTACTCATGAAGGTGGAAGGGAGAGAGCTAAGAAAGGAGCCCTGGAGTGAGGAGTCGGGATGCAGGAATGGGAACCAGGACTCCTGGGCTCTCCTTGAATGCTCTAGCTGAACAGCTTACGCTGACCTGAGGCCTATTGCTCCAGGGCTCTACTAACCCAGGTGGCTGTGGATGGCACGGCTGGTCCCCACAGAAACACTACTGTCCTGTTCCTTGGCTCCAATGATGGCACGGTGCTGAAGGTGCTGCCTCCAGGCGGGCAACCTGGGCGACCCGAACCTATCCTATTGGAAGAGATTGATGCCTACAGCCCCTCCCGGTGAGACCTCTGGAGGGCGGCCCCTGCAGAGCTGGAGGGGAGTGGAGGTGCAGATGGGGAAGTGGGAATGGGTTGGGAATTCCAACATTAGTTTCTTTTTTTAGGACAGGAGCTGTGGGATAGAGAAAGGGGCTTGGTGAAAAGACCAGATAGTGAGTTGGGGCAAGGTGATTCCATGGATTGTGCTTGGTTGCTCCTGCACCTCCTCACCTTCTGCTCATCACTTCTCCAAGGGAAAGGTAGCTCCACCTGTCCCATCCTGAGTCCTTCTGGCCTCACCCTAGGTGCAGTGGGAAGCGATCAGCCCAAACAGCAAGACGGATCATAGGGCTGGAGCTGGACATTGAGGGTCACAGACTCTTTGTGGCTTTTTCTGGCTGTATTGTCTACCTCCCTCTCAGCCACTGTGCCCGGCATGGGGCCTGTCAGAGGTAAGAGGGGTCTGAGGCCTGGCACTGCCTGGGCAAGCTTCCTGGGCCAGCAGTAGCACAGAAAGATCCACAGGTGGCAGGGAGATATAAGGGATGTTTGGGTGAAAGAGTGCTTTAGGCATTCTGAAGGTGGGCAACAAGCAGGGTCTGGAGTAGAGATTGGGGCCGATGCAATGGGAATGTAAGGCTGGGAGTCTCCTGTGAACCAAGGTGAAAGAAGAGGCAGCAGAATGGAAGGGAATAGAGTGGAGTCCCAGCCTCACATGACTCGGTTTCCCCTAGGAGCTGTTTGGCTTCTCAGGACCCATACTGTGGATGGCACAGTTCTAGAGGTTGTGTGGACATCACGGGAACTGGTGGGTAAGTAAGGAGCCCCTGAATCTTCTGAGGATTACATTCCCTACCACTAAAAGAGGGCTAGGATGCAAGATGGGGACAAGGTGTAGAACTGCCCTGAGCCACTTCCTTTTCTTCCTAGGACTGATGTGGATCAGGTTGGCAACCAGGAATTCACAGAGCATGGCGAATGCCAAGGTAAAAAGCAGGGGTGGCAACAGCTGCAGCCAGAGGTGCACATGGTTCTGATAGTCAGACACGCCCCAGGCATAGGGTTTTTGTCTTTCTTGCCTTCTGTGGCACAGTCACCTCCATCAGTTCTTCATGAAGCTTCCCTCTGACCCCATCTTTACCCTCTCTCTCCCATTTCATAGATGGAGCTACTGGAAGTCAGTCAGGCCCTGGGGATTCTGCTTATGGTGAGTCCTCTTGTCCCAGCTTCACCTTCCCTTACTTAGCCCACACACCCAGGTCTGTGTCCCATGGCAGCAGCAGACCAGTACCTGGACCTCACCAAAGGTCATGACCCTCCTTACATCCAGCATATAAGCTCAGTACTTGGATATAGAAGGATGCTTAATAAGTGGCTTATGAACAAATAAATCAGAGAATGTCCTGCATGGTTAGCCCTTCCCTATGCCCAGACCAGAGTAGAGGCCGAAGTTCCGGCCTCTTGGATTCCACAGTGGGAGGGATCCCCTGGGTAGGTGTTGGGTGGAGAGCAGGCGCCTCACTGGCTCTGACCTGGTCTTTGTCCCAGTGTTTCTGAGTCCTGGCCCTTCCCCTGAGACCCCCAGTCCCCCCAGTGATGCCCACCCCGGGCCCCAGTCTTCCACTCTTGGAGCTCACACTCAGGGTAAGGGGGTTAATTGGGAGGGACAGGAGTGAAGTGTGGGGCCGCTGACTCCTGGCGAGTTCTAAGCCTGGCACTGACTGGTGTTTGGTCTCTAATGCCTGTTTGGAGTCTCCCTTCCCAGATGCCCCACCTCCTTCTGCACGGACGGTTTGGCGGTTGTTCTTGGCATGGCTACAAGGGACCAGGACTGGGCTGGGGACTCCCCAGGCCCATGCTCTGGCCTGTGTGTGAGGGGCAGTGCTTTGGACTGCGTGTGTTGAGGGGTGAGGGGAGGGGAATCCCAAGGAAGGAAGGCCAAGGCCGCAGGAGTAAAGCCAAGCAGCAGGGGAGGTGGTAGAGGACCCTCCAGGCCTGGAGGTGGTGACCCGTGCACCCCCTACCCTAGGCTGAGCCTCCCTCTTCCTCTGGGTTGGCAGGTGTGCGCCGGGACCTCCTCCCGGCCTCGGCTTCCCGCTCTGTCCCGATACCACTGCTCTTGGCCAGTGTAGCCGCAGCCTTCGCCCTGGGCGCCTCAGTCTCTGGCCTCCTGGTTTCCTGTGCTTGTCGCCGAGCCCACCGACGTCGGAGCAAAGACATCGAGACCCCGGGGCTCCCACGACCTCTCTCCCTACGCAGTCTGGCCCGCCTGCACGGCGGCCCCGAGCCCCCGCCACCCTCCAAGGATGGGCAGGCCGCGCAGACGCCGCAGCTCTATACCACCTTCCTGCCTCCCTCGGAGGGCGGACCCCCGCCCGAGCTGGCC